GCAGATGTAGAGATACAAACATCTGCTAGTAGACAATCCTTTGAGTCGTCCACTTTCGCCTGTGCTAAATCATCCATCATTAGTGAAGAAAATTAAGTAGGAAAAAAAAGAAGAGATAAACAGAAAACAAAAAGAAAAAAATTAAAATGACCTGTAAAGATGAAAAGATAACTGGCTGGAACTCATGAACATCAAAGGCAGGAATGACAACATTAGTTAGTGTTTGGCTAAGCTTTCGATCTCCAATCATATTCTTGATTTTCCCACGCAAATACTCTCCATCATATTTAGGACGAAACAACATGGACTCGATCCAATCGACGATTTTTTCTGCACTATGGTATACAGGGCCAACATATCTGTTGTAAAGGTCCTTAACCCAATTAACTACAGTATCCCACCCGGGAATACTAAACCTGCATGTAGAGGGCACACGATAAATAAGCAGAGATTTAAACCTGGTTAAATAAATTCAACTAAGCTCATTTCTTTCTGTCTGATCGATCCGTAAGTACATATGCATAAAATTTTAGTTCTGCTCATTGTCAGTATAAATCTAAAATTCGCCCATGTAAAAACAAGTATTCATGTTCATGTGACATGTTTCTAGACTCTCAAGTTGAAAGGATATAGGAGTAATTAAGACAATTTTGATGCCTACCGGGGCTTTGCTTCATCTTGCGGGAATATATTTGGGCTCTCCTTCAGATAGAATTCAGTAATCTCATCTGCACGAAATAAAGGTCGATTCTTTTCATTTGGGGTAGTTAGCATTGCAGTAACTAAACCTCCCGTGCTTGTCCCTGCTATGTAGTCAAAGTAGTCTGCGATCCTAGCATCACTTCCATCCAGTTTCTGTGAAAAAAGTAGAAATATGTATAACTCATACCCTAATTATTTAGGGAATTTTGGATAATGTACGAGAGATAAGTTCATAATGCAAAGAATATTTATACTATCAGACTAAATTAACCTACAAAACATCCAGCTTATTCCCATATCAAGCCTGATAACCCGGATAAAAAATAGAATAACTGATAGTGTTTAAAAAATCTTTTTTGCTGAGTGTATGTAACATATATATATTTTAGAAGAAACTACAGTATATACCTGGAATTGGGATTCAAGAAAAGCAAGAATTGTACCAGGAATGATCCCTCTAACACCTCCACCATCAATGCTAAGAATAGTTATCACCTTTCCTTGGGATGATCTAGCCATGCTTGATCAGTTAAATCTATGTCTACGAATTAAGCTTAGCAGTGTGAGTTCCTAGTGCCTTTACAATAGGAGTATTTATAGCTTCCAATTAGTGGCGGAGCAATGCATGCAAAGTGTTTGCTTTAAGTAACTTGAAATTCAGTTTGTCACGGATTTCGTGCAATCAATACCATAGAAATTAACACAATTCTCGTGAGGAAGGAAAGTATACAATGTCTTTGGTGCATGGCTTACAAATGTGATGATAGTCTGCTAGTTGTCATGAAAAAATCAACACGTCGTATACAATACTGCGATGCTCGACTCCGATTCCGAAATACTATGAAAAATGTTGTTAGATTAAAATTTTATGTAACAGCTTGAAATAATGCTGGATCATTTTCCAGAAGTAAACTTTCAGTTCATAATCTCCTCTAGTAACTGCCACTTCATTTCTCAGTGGCTTTATATATGTTTAAACAGTTTTAATTATTTTCTAGGTTTTCCTCCTGGTATATATATCTTGTGTTTGGTACGATAGAAATTATTTTTCATGAAAAGAAAGAAAATGACACCCCTCACTTATAGGTGGAAGTCATTTTCCATGCAAAATATCTTGATTTTTAACTTCATACTACTTGCTTTAACTAACATGAATCCAGACATTATTAATTATTTCTAGTACTCAAATTTCATTGAAATAATACTCTCTAATTTATTGATATTATTATTAATTTTTAATATATATTTTTTCTAAAAATATTTTTGTCCAAACAAATATCTAAAAATATGTTTTTTGAATTTTTTTTTTTGCTCTCTATAAAATATTCGTTTGGCCGAGGGCTTCTGATAGTAGGCTATATTCATGCAAATTAGACACTATTTACAATCTAATTTAGCCACACTTTATTGATATTTGAATGCTACAAGATAACAAAAATGCTCTAATTAAGAATTTGATGCTTTGCAGGAGCTACTCCGAGCTAGGAGGGAGCTAACGAGTGTTTTGGAGTCAACATGGAATGTGAAAGGGCAATCGAAGGTTAGCCCGGTCGGAAAGGATCGAGAAAAGCAAGCGAAACGAACCCTTCAGGTGCGCGGCCGCGGAGTGGGCCGCGAACTGGTCCGCGAACTCAAGGCAGTGAGGCAGTCCAAATCCGCGGCCGGATTCGCGGTCGTATCCGCGGACGAAAGCCAAACACGCAGGGTTAATTATGTAATTTTCTAGGCGACTAACCTAAACCTATATTAAACCTAAACTTGCCCAGAAGTGGGGGATATCTGTTTTTAGAAGATTTTAGAGGCAAGAACGAGGGAGAGAAGACGGATAAATTCCTAAGAATTTTCATCTTCTTCTTCATACTTCTATTTGTTGATTATGAATTATTTTAATGATTTGTTTTCCATTAGTATGAGTAGCTAAACCTATTATCTAGGGTTGATGGAATCAATTGTTGGATGAAGTCTTGACTCTATTTTGTTATAATTGAGCCTTGTTTGTTCTATGATTGTTCAATTACGTATTGTATTGTGGTTAATTGAAAGGGCCCTCAATTAATCGTGTCTATTTACCTTGTGTTGCTTAAGAAAGAACACTTGGTTAGATTGTTGTTGAACAACATCACTTTTGGAGAAGTTAAGAGATTAATTACTTGAATTTAAAAGTGGGGTTAGAAATAACGAAGCTTTGGTGGGATAATTCTGAGTTGCATAAATTCTTAACTAGAGTAGTTCGAGAGAATGCTTCTAGTAAATTATCGTAATTGATCGAAAGGTAATTACGGTAGCCCAGAAATAATAATCCTCATAGAGTATTACAGCGAGATTATAGCTAAAGAGTTAAGAATTAATCCAGCAATTGAGGAAATCAATAGCCCTAAATCCATTTACCCTTGAATTCAATTTTAGTCTTGATTATTGCTAATTTTATTATCACTTTTCCTTAGCTAAATAAATTCCATTGATTATTCATAAAACTCTTGCATCTGGAAGTTGTCTGAACTTATCATTAGCATTATTTAAAGTTTTAGTAAATAGGTTAGCTCCCTGTGGGATTCGACTCCGGACTTGAACCGGGTTATATTTGCAGCGACCGCTTAATCCTTTTTACAAGGCATAGTTGGGTGTGATCAAATTTTGGCGTCGTTGCCGGGGAACTAACGGTGTTATTTATTACAACTTAGAAGAATTGCTAGGATTCTTAGTTTAGATCGATTTCTTACGGTGTTTAAATTTTTCTATTGAAATTCTCACGTTTGAATTCTCCTGTGACTCAAGTGTATGCCTAGAAGCTCTTCGAGGACTGGTGAACTTTTTGAAGGGCTCTCAGACCCTGAGAAAGCATTCAGGGCATTAAATTGAACCAACAAGAAGAACAAACAATTACAACAAAAACACACACTCGAAATTGAAATGGACAACGTGGACGATGTCAACGAAAACAATCGGAATAATCGGGTAGACCCAAACAATGGAGTGGTGGCACCTCTTGTGCCAGAAGCTGCTCTATATGATTGGGCACAACCAACTGTTGATAACTTAGCCACCGCCATTGCTGTACCTCAGATACAAGCGGAGACATTCCAGATCACCAGCAACATGCTACATCTATTGTAAAATAAGGGACTGTTCTCCGGGTCATACATTGAAGACCCACAACAACATCTGAAGAATTTTCTATCAATATGTGTGACCCAAAGACAGCCGAATGTGACTCCTGAAGCCATCAATCTATTACTGTTTCCATTCGCTATGACTGGAGAGGCTCAAACTTGACTGAATTCACTCCCAATAAACTCCATTGCCACTTGGAAGAATTAGTCAAACAGTTCTTAAACAAGTTTTATCCTCCCAATAAGACTACAAGGCAGATTGATGAGATATTACAGTTCAGGCAGAAACCAACTGAGTCCTTGCAAGAAACCTGGGAGAGGTTCAAGGGCATGCTAGTGAAGTGTCCACGCCATGGCATTCCATATCAGATGTTGGGACAGATATTCTATATGGGTTTAGCAGATAGTTTGAAGGCCAATGTAGATGCTTCAGCTGGGGGTGCATTTTTGAGCAAGACATTCACAGAATGCAAGATTCTTCTTGACAAGATGGCTCAAAATTCAGGCTGGATGGCTAGAGGTATGACACTTACACTAATAGTGCATTCTGTTGCTCTTGACCTAAACAATTCCCATGCAGAGAACATAGCCACTCTCATGACTCAGATGAGCATACTGACAAAGAAAATTGATGAGATGGGTACAAAGCAAGTGCACATTATTGATACAACGAATGGAGGATTGTGCACTCCTTGCATAAACCAGTCATATGTGTGCTCGTGGAGTGGAGAGAATGACAATCAGGGCTTCAGAGAAGACATGAATTATGTCAATAATTTTGGAGGTGAGAGGCAAGGTGGGCAACAATGGGGACCAGTACCAAACGAGCAATACATACCCAACCTGCCACAACACAACCCCAATTCTGGAGGCGCACGACCACAAGGTCAAGTTGTGCCTTATCAAAGGCAGCAGGGCTATAATCAGCAGCACCAACAACAGTTGGCCTACCAACCACCTCATCAACAACAGGACAACAATATGGTAGAAATCAGGGGTATGCTGCAACAACTCATTGGAACAAATGGTAAGATGCAAGAAAAGTTAGCAGCACATGATTCAGCAATCAAAGGCATTGAAACTCAACTAGGACAGCTGTCTATGGCCTTGAACAATCGCCCCCAAGGAACTTTGCCTGCAGATACAAATATTAACCCAAAGGAACAGAACCCAAATCAGCTAATGGCAATGAGTCTCAAGAATGGAAGAGATTTAGATAGAGAGCAAGAAGTTGCTTAATTTAGGAGAGAGACTACGCCAACTACTCCAGTTACATTAGAGGCAGAAGAGTCAGCAGAGCTAACCGAGGTTGTAATTGAACAAGCACTGGTTGACAAGGGTAAGGAAAAGGATGGTGAACAAATCTCGGAACAGGTGGCACCTCTTGTGCCAGAAGCTTCCAACAAAGAAAAGACATCAAGTAATGGACAGAAATTGACTCATGCACCATTCCCTCAGAGATTGGCAAAACAAAAGAAAGATGATCAATACAGGTAATTCATGGAAATGCTTCGACAGATTCAATTGAATATTCCACTTATGGATGCTTTGAGGGAAATGCCAGGGTATGCAAAAATGATGAAGGACCTGATATTGCGAAAATTTGACTTCCAGGACCTGTCCACTGTAACTTTGATACAGACCTGCAGCTCGGTAGTGACAAGACCTATGGCGCAAAAGTGTTTAATCCAGGTAGCTTCACTATCCCATGCACTATTGGGAGTTATGCTTTTGCTAAAGCATTGTGTGACTTGGGAGCCAACATAAACTTGATGCCCTTGGCAATCTATACGAAACTGGGCATTGGCAGAGCTAGACCGACCTCAATGTTGCTGCAACTGGCTGATCGCACAGTCAAAAGACCGATAGAAATTCTTGATGATATGCTTGTGCAAGTGGGGAAATTTGTATTTCCTGCAGACTTTATTTCCTGCAGACTTTGCTATTCTTGATTGTCAGATGGATGAAAGGATACCCATCATTCTGGGAAGGCCATTCTTAGCCACTGGGAGAGCATTAATTGATTGTGAGACTGGAGAGTTGAAAATGAGGTTGAACAATGAAGAAATAATATTCAATGTTCAACAATCCATGAGGAGACCCAGTGAATTTGCAAACTGCTCACTAGTGGAGGCCGTAGATGTGATACTGCAAGAAGAGGATGAGACCCTTAATGTCAAGGATCCACTAGAAGCCTGCTTGATCAATTTGGAAGAGATGAACGGTGAAGGGTTGGCAGAGTGGGTCATGGCTCTCGAAGGTCAAGGATTCTGGAAAAGGGAACCTCAGTTCGAGCCCCTACACTTAGAAGAGAGAGCAACACCACCTGCAAAACCATCAATAGAGGAGCCACCACAACTGGACTTCAAACCGCTTCCAGCCCATCTCAGGTACGCTTTCTTGGGGCCTAATTCTACTTTGTCG